AACTATTTAATGAGCTCGTTTGTTCATGAACGAGCTCATTTGGTAGCTCGAAAACTCTTACTATATTGTGTGAAATATATATTTTTATTTATATTTTATCAAAATATTATGTAAACAAATATAAAAATTTAACTGTTAATATTATTTCTAACTTGAATGATCCGTTTCTACGCTGTAGTGTACTAAAGCCTGCTGCTGCTTGGCATCTAGAATTCTGTAGAGAAACCAAGGAATCTCATTTCTGTGCTGAGCCATTGTGGAGGTACTGTAAGCAGGTTTTTAAATCAGCAGGGACTCCCCACATTCAATGCTCTACACCATTTCTATGCAATTAAGAGATTCTTACCACATATTTTACTTGTTTGCTTTGCTATATTAGACTATTAGTATTATTTTTCTTTTAATTTTACCGTTTATAATTAGAGGTATTTGTGTAAATGCTGTGTTGTTACTTGTTAGTCTTTTTAAAATTATATTGTTATTGAATTTAGTATTTACCATCAGGATTTAGGAGTAGAATGTATGGTAGTGTTATTTTACTTAAAAGTAATTTAAGGTTTTATTTGAGATGATTTTTTTATTATTATTTTTCAGAGCAGTTTTATAGTATAAAAATTAAAATTTTTGTATAAAAAAGCTGCTTTAAGAAGCAGTGGGAAAGTCATCCCAGGACGACTTTTTTACTGCTTATTGAAGCAGCTTTCTAGTATAAAAATTAAAATGTTTGTACTAGAAAGTTGCTTTAAGAAGCAATAAGAAAACTATCCTAAACAAAGCGTAAGTCTTCGTTTGAGACAATTTTTTTACTATTTTTTAAAATAGTTTTTAAGTGCATCAATTTTTTAAAAGCTCTTTTGAAAGGATTAATATATATAATCAAACTAGTTGGAAGTCTCGAGTCTTTATAGAATGCATATCAAATAATTGTATGTTACTTGGATTCAGGCCTCTCTCTTTTTGTTGTTATGATCTTATCTTTGGCCCTTACTCGCTCTGAGATTGTATGCCTTTTTCTTGTCTTCAAGGTTATAAAAACCAATTTGAGCATCAAAGTTGGCATTATGCAAGTACACCCATTTGATGAGGACCAACATCTCTTATGCATAACTGACAATAATGATATGCCTTACCTTCTTTAGCTATCTCTAACAAATGGAGAGATTGAAGTTTTATCATTTCAACCTGATTGATTTGTCTGTCGAGAAAATCAAATGCGTACTAGGGGCGGATCCAGCCTTAATTTCAGGGAGGCAAAAAGTGTAGAGATTTTTTTTCCTTGAAGTCGGCTCAACTCCTATTTGTTCATATCCTTGATCATTGTACATTTCACAGATATGTCGGGGGTCTAAGTAGTTGACTTGTATTTTTTAATTTTCTTTACTATTTCTCTTTGTATTTGATTCATCATTTGATTATATTGGGCAATTGCCTAAAGATCATAGTATTTTAAAACTTTTAGGGAGGGTAATTGCCTACAAATCCATGTAATAAAGACTAAAAAATTAGATGTAGTGGGACAAATTACCGAAATAACCATATAATGATTTTTTAAAAAAATTTTTTAGAGGGGGGGCAATTGTCCCCCTCGACCCCTCGACATAAGATGGATCAGCCCTTGATGCTCACTATGGTTTCGTTTGGGATGGCTTGCTTACTATTTTTGTTTTTTAAATATAAAAATTAAAATTTTTGTACTATACAATTGCTTTAAAAAATAGTAAAAAAGTCGTCCCAAATGAAACCTAAAGCAATCAATGCTTTGCCTTATGTTTAAGGCAATATTTTGAAGTGGGTAGTTTGAGCTAACGGACGGCTCACTATTTAAAATAAATATTTTCCTAATGTTATTGCCACTGATGGATAAAATTTAATAAAAAAATGTTCTGATCATGTAGCGTTATGAGCATTTTGCTTATTATTAATCATGTGAATTGTGAACTCACAACCCCCACAACCATAAATGGTATTCTATTGTACGTTAAGACATTCATGCATCTATTCTAGGAGATGGATTAGTTATTATGTGCGGTCATTAAATGTCGTCCAGAGAATAACTAGAATACGCTATATCACCATTGTGCTCGTAACTACTCGGTACTACCCAGTATCACTGCTCGATACCACTGATGTGGTGCATTCTGATTGATCTCCAGACAACATTCTGCGTTCGATCTCCGCACAGAATAATTTCTCCATTATGTATCACGGCTCGATACCACTGACGTGGTGCATTCTGATTGGTCTCCAGACGACATTCTGCGTCCGATCTCAGTACAAAATAATTTCTCCATTATTAGATACTTTTTTTTTTTTGGATACATTTTTGAACACCAACTAGACTAATTTTTTATCTCTCTTGGCATGGTTTAAGCATTTATTGGGTATATTTTATATAAAATATGTCACTATAGATTCTATGTTTTATTTAAAATAATAATATACTTTATCTATAATATCTCATGTTGATATTTTTAAATTTATATTCATATATTATTGAATGATTTTAGTTTAAAATCATAGTTTAAATAGATAAAATTTTGAAATCCGCATTCTTTCTAATTAAACTCATAATATGAAACATGAATATTTGATAATCGCTAAGAGTTTTGTTTGGGACAACTTTCTCACTGTCTTGCTTTATAGGTTAGATTCATAATTATATCTTGCTAATATTATTTTTTTAATTATTTTTTAGTTGCTTTCTAGAAATCTAAGTGATGAGAAGCTGCCTTTGACCATTAGAGTTGTAAATCTGCGATACCTTTAAGAAAACATATACTCAACTTTTTAAAAGATACCCCATCGGGCTTAGGTGGGTTGGTGGGAGTGCTTGGTTGGGAACCCCCCATCCCAAGTTCGAATACCCTCTCATACGGCACGACTCCTTAAGTAAAGAGAAAAGAACTGTGAGTCCTGCACCAGTGGGGTTGGTTGCTGGTAGACTCGCCGAAGGATTAGTGAACATCGCCAAGTGTGTCACAAGCTGATGTGGCAGCAGGACGATACCCCCGTTAAAAAAAAAAAAAAAACTTTTTAAAAGATAACATTTATAATATCCACAATAATTTTTAAAAGGTGGTTATTTTTCTATAAAAGGTTTACAATCATCTTTTCAAAATATTACAGTTGTCCCAAAAAAATTCTAAATCAATTTTATCATGACTTATTATCTTGAAAGCAATCTTAGACTATTATGAGCCATCATCTAACATTGATGTAGTCTTGCATCTATAAATAGAAAAATAAGTATAAGTATAGAGATACCATATGACTCTTGTTACGCGCTAAAAAATTTGAATATGCAATGTTATATAAAAATTCAGCACGTACAAATAAAAGTGATATGATCATAAATTTTTATATGAAAAACTGTGAAAGTGTAAAAAACTACACATAATTGAAAAATTCACTACGTAGTACGTGATATAAGATTCCACCTTTCTTCACAATTGGAGAAGATAAATTATTTGAAAACAAAAGTATGATTTTCCCTTATAGAGATTAGACAAATTAAGTGTTTACTAATAGATAGTAAACACCAAATATCTCAGCTTGATTTTCTCTATAGAGATTATAGATGTTTGATGTCAATAAGTGGATAGTTAATACACAATAACATGGTTAAATTTTGTTAGAAGTTTGAGATGGAGGCAACTATTGAAAGTGATCATCGACATCGTTAGTGGTCAGCAGTAATAGCTGGCGGTGGTCATTGGCGGCGATGATTGAAAAATCCAATAGAGCTCTCTCTAATTCCCCCTCTATTCTTCCTCCCTTATATGGAAAATAAGGCTCTATTTATAGTTTTTTTATGAGCATTTTGATAAATTGAACTATAATCCAAAACAATATCTTCTGGTTCTATCTTGTGGTCCATATTGATTCTCTTTATCAGGAAGTGTTTATTTAGCATTTAAGTGTATTAATGATATCAAAATTCTCAATTCAATTCTAAGCATGCCAAATTTGAAAATCATTTGGTTACCAAATTAATGATTGAAATTTTCAAACACACTTCGAGTGTTTTATTTGGACTCATTTGGGCTCAGATTGAACCACCTTTGATATCGTTGGGCTCTTCCCATCGAGCTATTCAGCTCGACTATAAATTTGCTAAAAATGAAGTTCATATGATCTTAAATTTAATTCAAGTTTTGCCTCGAAATTCCCGCCTATTGTGCTAATTTTTTAATGGATATATCAACTCTAGTTATCTTTTATCTTTGAATTCATATGTTATCTAGCTCAATTCTCCATTCTATATTGAAGGCTGAAATGATTCATCATAATAATTCATTTAGATATTAAGGTTTTGGTCATATCAAATTCTTTAATAATCTCCAATAATATTTCACAACAAAATAATTTAATACTATTTAAAATTTAAGCATAATCTAACTAAAACCGTCCTTTATAACTATATTCCATTAATAATACAAATTATGATCAGTAAGTCATAGGTCAACGTTTTCATCAAAGAAGTTGAAATTATCAAAAGATGTTTCCTTATTAAATAGGCAATTAAAATATTTTTACTATTAAATTTTAATATAAAATTATATAAAAATATTTTAAATGAAAAATAATTTTTATTATAGATAAATCTTAACAAAATTAAAATATATCTTAAATATTTCTATGATAGAGATGTTATATATCTGATCTTATCTATCTATGATTATTTTGGTTGGTGGACGAGTATGGTTGGGAACTTTCGAATTAGTGCTCGATTCCCCTCGACCGGTAGTGCCTCTTAAGTGGGGTCCAATCATAACAACTCACATTTTATTATTCTATTTTGTAAGAAATTGTCTTTTTTTTTTTCATTTTAAACCTAGTAAATCTTCAAATTATTAAACTTATTTAAGGTTGAATATGTTATACAAACAATTTAATTAAAATTTATATTAGAGATATCTTAAAAAAAAAAAATTTTGACCCGGATATCCGGAGAGGATTGATTCGGAATTTCGGATACGTAATAAGAATATAACATTTATACAACGTGGGTTCGGTGGACCGGCGGAGGTCCGTCTCTTTTCCTCTCCTCAGCGACGAGGCGTGCGGGGGAAGGTTGAGAGAGAAAGGTGGTCGTGGTCCCGTACTCCCGTGGAAGAGGCGTCCCCGGGCTAATGCGTTGAGGGCTCGCCGGCGTAGAGATCTTCCGGCGGCCTAGTTGACGATGGGAAACTCGCTTGGTTGCTCGGCTTCCGGGGAACGTCTTGTGTCGGCGGCTAGAGATGGTGATTTCATTGAGGCTCGCATGTTGCTCGAATTCAACCCTTGCCTTGCCAAGTACTCCACCTTCGGCGGCCTCAATTCCCCGCTCCATTTCGCCGCCGCAAAGGGGCACAACGATGTCCGATTCATCTACTCACATTTCCTGCATCTCCTTTCGAAATTTTCTGTAAACCTTATTTTTTTTTATTGGAGTGATTTTAGATAGTTACGCTGCTGCTGGAGAATGGGGCGGACGTGAATTCGAGGAATTATTGCGGCCAGGTTCTTGATCTTGATCTGACATCTCTAGGTTTAGTATCCGGTTTGGGTTTTTTCTGGATTATCGTTTGAATTTTTTGTTTCTTTCATCTGTTTGATATTTGTTTAGACGGCGTTGATGCAAGCTTGCCGGCACGGGCACTGGGAAGTCGTGCAGGCTCTGTTGCTCTACCGATGCAATGTACTTCATCTGCATTTTTTTTAATTTGTTTTTACTCATTTTGGAATGAGTTTGCTGTCATTTGGTTGAATGTTTTAATATTAATGAAGAATTAATGCGACTTTTAAAATTTTCTAAAATTATCAAATTTTATGAAAATTAATAATTTCATTTTACACATCGAAATCATTGTTTTTAAATATGTTTTGTATTTAGAAACTACTAATAGAGAGGATGTATACAGATATGCATAAAAATTTGTATACTTTATATACAGTGGCGTACAATATCCTGATTATTGTATTTTTGGGTATATGTCTTCTGAATTTAATAATTTATCATTGTTTGTTGAACAAAAATATATTTTAAAAAATAATTACTTTATTTTGTGTGAAAAAAATATTGCATTTGAGATGGTGTTTTGAATCTTAAAACTAGTATTATTTTTTTTATTACATTATGTCAAATCAAATGGCAGAATCCGGTACTTCTTAGTTTTTCAAAATAATATTTTCTAATTTCATTGCATTGAATGAGTCCTTATTGTATTCGTTTGATTCTTTCAAGGATCAGTTTTTTTAGAGATTGAGCTTTTTGTGATTTTGAATGTTATTTGATTAGGTTACTAGAGCGGATTATCTCAGTGGTAGGACGGCGCTACACTTTGCAGTGGTGGATGGGCATGTGAGGTGCATAAGGCTTTTGGTTGCTGACTTTGTCCCGAGCTCGCCCTATGCGACGGCAGCTTCCATTGAGGTTGGGGACGGAGATGGTTGCAGCAGGAGCAGCAGCCTTGATTCTTCTTTGGGACTTAGATATGATCAGATGTGTGTTTTCTTCCATACGATTTGATGGCTAATTTTTTTGTGCCATTTCATATCTTGAAATTTAGTTCTTAAGCTTGGCTTGTTTGCTACAGTTCTCTGGCAAAGTTTATTAGCAAGCCAGCTGATGGCGGTATCACGGCTCTTCACATAGCAGCTTTGAATGGTTATGTTGAGTGCGTTCAGCTGTTGCTTGATTTGCATGCCAATGTTGCTGCTGTGACATTTCATTATGGTTCTTCGATGAATTTGATTGGTTTGAGGCTACCTTATTATGCTAAGCGAATTGTTAACCTAATTTAATTGTTGGTATATTAGGGAAGAGCTGTGTTGATTTGATTTCAATGGCTTGCAGGAGCGGGAAGCACTCCTTTGCATTATGCAGCTTGTGGAGGCAATCTTAAATGTTGCCAGGCAAATTCAGTTTCACTATATGCCTTTTTTTTGTTGATTTTTGTATTTGTGATTTGACTTTTCTTTGATTGAATTTTGTATTCTAAGTTGTTTTGCACCTCCTTCTAATTTTGCAGTTACTCTTATCTAGAGGTTCTAGCAGATTAGCATTGAACTGTAATGGGTATAGTTTAAGTTTCTTTAAGATATTATTTAGACGCTAAGTTTTCTTTGAAGTAGTGCATATCATATATTTATATATATTTCTTCTGTCTTTTCAGTTGGATTCCAGTTGATGTTGCTAGGATATGGGGCCATCATGCACTTGAGGATTTACTTGTGCCCAATTCTGACATGAGCATACCAATTTTTCCGCCATCGAATTATCTTACATTGCCTCTAATGAGCATACTTAATATCGCAAGGTGGTAAGAAGCATTTAATATTATTTCTACTTAAGTACTGCTGCTCTCAATTTCTAAATAATGGTACTCTTTCTATTCATTTGGCTTCCCGTTCTTGCATGGAAGAAGGCTATAACAATAATTTACCTAGTGAAGTTGACTTAATTAATGCTGTGAAAGCAGAAGACGCTAATGAAAGTAATAATTGTGTGATGAGAAAATATCTGTTTTCATTTCTTGCCTGTTAGATTTGTTTTTTGAAACTTTTGCCTTGCTAAATCCCAATATATTTTCCTCACCAATTCTTAATGAATAATTTCCTTGTTGTTCTCCCTATTCACTGTGTCCCAATGTCTTTTAATAATGAGAATAACTGAAAACATTTTTGAGACGGTGAGCTTGGCGCCATGACATGGGTCATTTTGCGCGTGTGCCGCACTATGACTATGGTGCAAGGGGTTTATTGTGACATGCAACCTTTTTTTTTGTGTACTAGCTTTTATAGTCATGAATAGAATCATTTAAAGCTCATGAACAAACTCGTTAAGAAGGTCAATTAATGCTCGCTAATATGCTCATTTAAGGCTCGATTTACAAATTTATTTAATATATAATTATCTGGGGGTGTTTTAGTTCAAGTGAAGTGTATTAAGGATGAAGATAAAAAAATATTTTTCTTAGAAGATGATATTCAACAAAGGTGGATGAGATATTTTGCTAAATTTTTTAATGAAAATTGTGATAATAAGATTGACTATAGTGACCTTAGCACCCTAAATGAAAATAAAGATTTATAATTTTATCGGCATATTAGTAAAACCGAAGTTATAGAGGCTTTAAAGAAAATGAAGGGTGAAAAAGCTGTTGGACCTGATGATATTCCAATAGAGGTGTGGAAATGCTTAGGAGATGAAGGAATTTCTTGGCTTACTAAACTTTTTGATACTATTTTGAAGACTAAAAAGATGTAGATGATTGGAGAATGAGTGTGTTAATTTCTATTTTTAAGAATAAAGGTGATGCACAAGATTGTGTGAATTATAGAGAATTAAGTTAATGTGTCATACTTTAAAACTATGAGAGCGAGTTATGGAGCATAGGTTGCAGCGCTGATACTTAATGTTTCTCAAAAATCAATTGGATTCATGCCGGTAGGTCGACTATGGAAGCCATACATTTATTAAGAGGTTGATGGAAAATATAGAGAAATAGGAGGATCTACATATGAATTTATTGATTTAGAAAAGATATGTATAAAAGTTTCCTAGAGAAGTGCTATGTAGAGTTCTTGAAAAGAAAAGGAGTTATAAATGCTTATATTCCAAACCATTTAAAGATATGTATGCAGGAGCTTTACTTGTGTTCAAACACAAGGTGGTTGACCAAGTATTTCCCTATTTCGGTTGGGTTACATCAAGGATCAGCTTAAGCCCATATCGTTTTGCCTTAGTCATGGATTTCTCAACTAGACATTTGCAAGAGGATGTACCTTGGGTTATGGAATTTTTGCTGATGAATTTATCTATTGTTGATAAGACTAAAGAGGGAGTTAAAAAGTAAACTTGAATTAATGGAGGTCCAACATTAGAGACTAAAGGTTTTCGCTTGAGTAATATCTAAAACGGAATGTATGGAGTGTAATTTTAGTAGTAATGACCTGGTGAGGGGATTGTGACTTTGGGCAATCAAGTCATTAATAAGAGTACACGTTTTAGATATCTTGGATCTATTGTTCAGAGTGATGGTGAAATAGATGGGGATATTATCAGCAGAATTCAAGTTGGATGGTTGAAGTGGAGGAATGCATCGGGCTTGTTGTGTGATAGAAAAGTACCCCTCAAACTTAAGGGAAAATTCTATAAGATGGTAGTGAGGCATGCAATGCTTTATGGTGCTGAATGTTGGCCATTAAAAGAGAAGCATAATACTAAGTTAAGTGTGGCAGAGATGAGGATGCTCAGGTGTATGAGTGGCTTTAATCTTATAGATAGGATATGAAATGAGCATATAGCAGAGATGAGGATGCTCAAGTATTTCCTATCATAATCTTAAATCTTCTTAGAAGTAGTCTAGAACATGCATGTATCTTTAATTGATGGATCCATTGAGTCCCCTGGCCATGACATAATTAGGAAGTTCGCTACATTCCATGATTCAAACATTGGACCACTCCCCTTTATTCCTAACCCTAAAGCGTGGTAAAGACTCCCATGTTTCTTTAAACAAATTGACTGCTGCAGCGTAAGAGAGAGGTAACGACTCAGAATCTTAATTGACAACAACAAAAGCTTGCAACCTTTAAATTTGTAAGAGCTTCACAACGAAGAAGCATACAATGCAGAGAACACCTACAACAAGATTTTACCATAATTTAGGCTGTAAGTGTTTTTCAGCAAGATATGAACATGCTATAAAAATTTTCTGTAAAGAAAATCATAGCCTTTAGGAATGGAAGTGGGGTAGAAAAACATTTCCATAACTGAAATATTTGTTATGTTCGAAGTGGAGAATACATTACCCAGTAAGGAGAAAAGAAAACCCTGGTGCATTGATACCGTGTGTAGAATGCAAAAAATTTTCTTACTCATTCAAGCTATTTGGTAGAAGGAAATATATATATTGATCTACGAAGAAAACCAGGAAACAAAAAAATAAAAAATAAAAATAAAAAAAAGGAAATAAAGGTAAGGTACACTAAAAACAAGAATAATATCTTCCACTATATAAATACAAATATTAAATTTCATGCATACAATCAAATTTTAAGTCTTGAGATTCACTAATATGCTTTCCATGTCCAAAAAGGTCTAGTTTTTCTTCATGGCATGGATTTATGGGATCCTAATTTTTTAAATTTGCATGAATCCGTAGGATCTTGATTTTCTTCCTTGGCTCAAATCTATGGATTCCATTATTTTCTTAAAACATGGGCCATGTTCGAACTTGAATTGAACTAAATATGAAAATAAATGAACAAACTTGAAAGGATAACCCTCAGTTTGACTCTGTCCATGCTTGGGATAAATTTTCATGTATGGTTCTCTGCATCTTCTGTAAATATTTACTAATTTTCAACATTGTTGCCTTTTTCTTCATAAGAACTTAAACTATTAGTGTAGCTTGTGAAACTTTTTTTCAACCTTAATTCTTGATAATAGCTATAGTTATTTAGTTTCATTTTTTTCTAATTATGTTTCAAGTTTGAACAATTAAATACAAAGTTTTTTTTCCCTATGTATGCCTATGTTCTCTGTGCTCTTTTATGTTTTTGGCTCGTTCGCTTTGATGCACTCCCTATTCTTGCCGGTGCTTCCTTCACCCTTTTTGCATGTGCATAATTGTACAATGTGTTATGCATTTTTCTTTAACTTCCGCAATCTCTTCAATATGCGTGCATTTTTCTTAATTCTTTCAATTTTTTGCCCAATATTCATATCATCGTTCCAAAACTTTTTGCATCAACTTTCTCTACTCTATTGATTTCTGTTTGTTTGTTCAACTCCTGATTCATATCACAAAGCTGACCTTATTTTTTGTTTGTAAATTAGCATTAGTTTCCATTTGATATTTAGTTGTTAAATTTTCATTTTAACTATGATCTTATGAGCCTTTTTGTGTCATTTTCATGTGACTCCAATGTCTCTTCGTTTTTCCATCCTTTCATGCTATATTATACATAACCGTTTACTCCAATTGTATTTTGCTAATGATGGCCAATGTATATCTTGTATCTCACCCTCATGCTAAGTCACAGTTTTTTATACATCTACAAAAAAACAATATATTCTAAGTAAAAAATGCAGCAAATGCGAAATGTCCTAAAGGAAGAAAGATTATAATCAATTGTAAATAAAAATATATATTGGACAACATCAATGAGAGGATCATAAAAAAGCCCCTGAATGTAAAAGAATCAGAGGCCCACTTAGAGATCTTCTTGATTATATAAATGCCAACTAAATAGATTCAAAGCGAGGTCTCTTAATTATATCTTTTTGTAGATCACACTTATTTTTGAAACATCTATTAAAATAAATGGAAAGTTAGGACTGGTGATATTTAGAAGATAAAGAGCTTGAAATTTGTAGAAGAAAGATGTTGTACAACAACAACAATATCAATCCTTTATCCCACTATGTGGGGTTGTCTACATGAATTATTTTTTTCCATTGTGTCTTATTAAATAACAAAGATGGAGCATGTAATATTTAATTTTAGTAAGTGTAATACTAATTATTTATGAATCAATATTATTAAAAAATAAAGTAATATCTATGTTTTGCATTTTTTTATTAATTATACGGATGCATGAATATATATTTGAGGATATATTTATAGAGTTAAGGCTAGCTTAGATGGTTAAAATAGTTTTTTTTTGGGGGAATTATGCATTAATAGGACATCATGCTGTAAATTTTATAAAATTTTGATTAGGTTGATAATGGTATATTTATTCTAATGTTGAACAATAAAAAGGTGATTGATAGCTAAGTTGAGCGATTCAGAAATAAGAATATTAAGATAGATACATGACAAAGTGAATAAAGATAAACTGGGGAATGATTATTTTAGGAAAATCGAAAATGGTTGGAGGGATATTTATTAAAGGTGATGTAATTGAAAGTATATTTAGGTGGTTCAACATATACAATGAAAGATATAAAATGCATCATTATATGGATGGATAAATTAGTGTCTGAGGAATTATAAAGGAAAAGGGGCATACCTAATGCAAAATGAATAGAAGTTATTTAAATTGATTTATGAAGAATAGGTTGACCAGTTGACCACCTTAGGAAGCACTTGCCATGAATGAATGAATAATGAAGATTATAAATCTAACCTAAATAGTATGGATATCGGTAATGATGATGATGCTCGTGATGATGAATGATCTTTCTCATATAATCTTAGTTCTTGTTCTTTTTCTTTTCTAATTCTTTAACTAATTTTATATATTTTTCTATTGGCTGTATTTTGTCAGCATTTATTATTCATGTCTAATTTGTCCAAGTTTATTT